CAACTCGCCAACCAGGGTTTGATATAACAGTGGCAAGGGATATTCGAATTGATCTGCTGTACCTTGTACTGCCCAGTGCGGTGAAGTATAGTCAACCCGCCATTACGGGCATGGCGTGAAGAGGCACCGATTTTGCAGAGGATTGGCGTCAAAAGGCTGTACGATGCTGCGGTCAATATTAACCACGAACGATGCGACACAACACGTGTCATAGAATCATCCGCATCCATCGTCTAGGCGTTACATGCGGAGGCCTTTTGCAGACTGGGACAAGGCACAGGAGAGCAATTGACATTCCTAAACGAGCACTGCTTTGTTTTGGTCAGAATATAAGATTAGTTCAGCCAAAGCTGAGCGCGACATTTATTTACCAGCCGCACAAATAAGCTCTAATTATATAAAATCCCACCAGTACATCATGGGGGGCGGGGGGGGGGAGGCGGGGGGGGGGGGTCGGGGCGTAAGTTGCAAATATTTGGTCCTGTACCAAAAGGTAAAACGAACGCATCCACTCACAACGGAACACGTTAACGAGCGTCAGACTCCTCGGAATTATCCTTGAAATCCATGGAAGCAGGTGAGGAGGCCGGGTGGTTCAGAGGTCGGAGGTCAGAGCGCTGATCCAGCTCCGCTGAGATCCTGTGTTCGAATCTGGGCAGCAGCAGCAGCGGCGGCGGCGGCAGCCTGCCATGAAAGCAAGTGCCCAGCTAACGCAGCGGGTGGATGGTGCTGCCCACTCACCAATGACTGCGCCAAAAAAAACACCGAACTCACGTTGAATGAGTTATTTAACCTAAATTGGTTAAATTCCAGCTCTGATCAAATGTTGGTTTCATCGTCAACGGGACAGCCAAGCTCACGGCAGAGTGTGTGGCAAAGTGCGCCCCCAGCTGTGTAAGGGTTCAATTGGCCACGTGAAGAGTGTCTTTGGGTGATGCCCTGTGAAAAATCGGTCTTACGCATGGGGCGCACCGATCTGTTAGAATTATGAATGGATTGTTTGCACCGTGATATAATGCTGATAGCACGATTTGAATCATCTCTGGGAAAAGAACAAATAAAAAAGAGATTTAAATTAATGGAAGCATTGTGACTTTACGGATGTTTTTCCCCTTGTGCGGTATATCTGCAGGCTGTGTCCATAACGGCTAGATAAAAGCTTGACAATCTTTGAAAATATTCAAGTGAGCAGGGATGTGGATGTATAAATAATTTATACAACGTATCACCAAAAAATACGTAAATAGGAAAATATACTTCAAACAAAAAAAAGATACAAACAGTGCTAGATTTATGAGCTACTCTGTAAGAAACTAGATAATGTAAAGAGAATGGGCCTTCATAGATTATCCACTGTCCTGTGTCTGCCTTATCCCCCAATTGGTCCCACGTCTCTCATCTTTGAATCCACAATGTGTTTCAAGGTATTCCTTTGCTCATTCTGCACACGCATGCGAGGCACCTCAAAAACAGCCACAGCTGTTCTATACCCGTAAATATAAATTCAGCCTTTGTGTTTTCTATTGGATTTATTTATGCAACGTTTTTTTTTATTCACGCATTTCCAAAGAGCCGCTTCGTGCTCCAACAACAAATATGCGCACCGCACCGTGCACAAGCGGCTGCTCTGCATCCGTTATACCCAGGACACTCTCCGCTTTAAGTACCCCATGCATATTTGAGATGGGACACGGGTTCGTTTGAACGAACGAACGAACGAACGAAGGAGCGAACGAGCGAGCGAGCGATAAGTTGAGCCCCCTAGGACGTGATATGCGGGATTTGTGGCACCGCGATTTTACGAGTGGGTGCCTCCGCCCGCTATCCATGGCCCAAGACAAATTTCGACGCATCTCCTCGCCGGTGCAGTTGCCGGGGAACCGTCTCATCCCGTTACGCTCCGCGGAGTGTGCGCCCGCGAGCGTTTGGGAGCCGCCGGCGCTGCCCACCACACACTGTACTCCTGCCCACCGCGTTCTGCACCGGCCAATTTGTCAATGCCACGTGGCTTCGTAACCCCCGCATAATTGATTTCGTTTCTGCGTTTGTGTGTTTTAACGCACGTGACGGACTCCAGGAAGCAGTCTTTAATTGGATGTGCTGCGGTGCGCTAAAGAACACAGATATGTAATTAAAGCGTGCTGCAAGTTTAACCATTTTTTATATATACAAAAAATTGGTGAAGCCAGAGCATTGAAGGGGGAAGTCAAACAGATTTTCACTTCGGCCATGAGGGAATGATCGCATGACATGTCTGGCATAGCTGCTCCGAAATATTCGTGTGGGAGGAAAACTCTGCATCCATACATTGCAGGGGAGTTGCAGTAATTAAGTGCAGTGAGGTGGAGAAGGAAAAATGGGCGTTTTCAAATTCCTCGGCTTGAAGGGCAATAAACCACAGAGATTCCACGAATAAATCGGTCCAGTTTATGGTTAGGGTCACCAATCTGCCCCCCCCCCCCCTCCTGAGCAGCTCATCTTATTACGTGAACAACTCCATAGACAGAGGTTTAGAAATTACAAAGATGTCCTGTCCTGGGTTCAGATCCAAAAAACATGACTTCTGTACTATAGCAGTCTCCTTTGTCTTCTCCTCCTCCTTATTTAATCCGATTTTGGTGACGAGAAACAATTCTACCATTTTACTGAAAGGTAGTTGAGGCGTCGTGTCAGCAGTGGCTTAGTGGATGGCTGTGATGGTGCCTCCCTGGTGTTTGGGAATCGGGCATCGAGTCGTTGTACGTTCCACAGTCTGTTCTGGGTGACCACAGTCGCACGCTGGAACATTTGTTTTACTTTGAATGTGTGCATCTGCTGCCATGATTTTTGTAAGTATTTATGTATGTATATCGAAGTTCTTTCGCACTGTACGTAGCCAACCGTGCGAATCGGAGGTGCGGGGGAAGGACAACAAACTAAACACAAAACGCAGTCCTAAAATTGCTTTTTTATATCTAAATTTAAAAGTGCATAGCTCCAGTGGTTTCCTAAAATTGGAAGGGGAGAATTCCAGACGGCCGCAAAAGCGCATTTGAAAGCGCGCGATGCAGTGACCGCCTTTGTTCCATGGCCAGCAGCCAAAAGCTGCTACCATGGTTTGTGCAGTGGATGCGATTTGGAGTTGTGGCCCAGAAGCTTCGCGAAGGGCCGAAAGCCAAGGGGACGTTTTGCGGTGTTTGTCTGTGACTCCTTACGAACTCCATTCGGCTTTTCAAGCATCGTCATCATCATCGGTGTTGAAGTGGCAATTGTTGAAAGTTAAGCGCATGGGTCCAAAAGGGCTTACGCGGCTGCAAGCGTTGGTGGAGAGGGATGTTATTGAGATCCTGGAGGATGGGGCGATGTACGTTTTCCACAATTTTCTGGACTTCCTCTCCAGTTTCCAGCCAGTGACATCAGGAAACTAAGCCATTGTTGGCAGAAATGCGTGACACTGGCTGGAAACTACATAGGAAGGACAAACATCTGTGCTGAGTTTTGCTGATGGCTTTGTGGTCAGGGGAAAACATTTTTTGACTTCCCACTCATATGCGGTACAAACATCGAGTGATATATGTTTGCATATATCACTCGATGCCAAACAACTTTCAAGTGTTTTTGTGTAACCAGGTGAGCACTCAAGGGAGCAGGATGAGCCTGCTTTGCTAGAGTGACCTTTGTCACCAACATGACGAAAATATGTATATAAATAAAAACAAATGTACAGCATGAAGCAAATAGAAATCTGCGCAAAAACAACCGTGTCGTAATGGCCAAATTGATAAGAATAGGTTTTACCATTTCTGGCAATAAAACAGGTGTTGAGATGTTACAACACCAACATGAAACATTTTGCAAGGATTCATCTTCTTGATTCTTTCGGTAAAGTCACGTAGAAGGGAAATAATAAAATAATACAAATAAAACATAATAAAATACAACTCTCACGACGTTTCGGCCACAACGCAAGCAGCCGTCCTCAGGTGAAGAACAGGTCTGTCGGAAAGACAGCGTCTGAATGAACACCACCAAGCTTGGCCGAAACGTCGTGAGAATTGTATTTTATTACGTTTCATTTCATTATTTTATTATTTCCCTTCTACGTGACTTTACCGAAAGAACCAAGAAGATGAATCCCTGCAGTCACAAAAGCTTTAAATCGAAATTTTGCAAGGAGTCATGTCTGCATTAACCACAAATACTTGACGTGAACATGCAAATAAAAAAACACGCTCTGGTAGTATATGATGCATTGTCTACACCAGAGACAGACTTCTTTAGAGCCTCGTCTCAAACGGTGTTAGACCAGAGGACGCCAAAAGGCGAAAAACACAAAGACAATTCCACTCTCAGGCCATTGAGAGCTCGGGGTGAGCTGGCCAGATTTGCTTGCAAAAGTTGGTTTGCGTGGCAAGCGGTATTGGGCACATCACCATCGCATGCCGCAAACCCAAGTGTTTAATATTCTTGGGTTTTTTCGGTAAATTCACGTAGGTAAAAAAAAATTAAATTAATAAAAGTAAAATAAAATTAAAACAAAAATATATATATATTTTTAAATAAAAGTAAAATAAAATATTTTTATTTATTTTTTATTTTACTTTTATTAATTTAAAATTTTTGCCTCCATGACTTTACCGAAAAAACCCAAGAATATGAATCCTTGCAGTCACGAAAGCTTCAAATCTAGAACCAAATGTTTCAATTCGCCGGGGTCGATACTGATGCACCACAGATGCACTATGTGACATGTTTACAGCCATTGTCATTAAGCACCCTTAACACCCATTACTGCCACGCTGGAGAGCTCGTGAGCTTTTCACTTTGGGACATTGGCTGCACGTGATGCACGAGGTGTCTGTGCTTGAACATCTTAGGTCTCTCTTGCAGGGATTGACAACTATTAATAACGTTCGGGTCCAGCATTGGTTCGATCATCTTACCCCAGTTATCTACTCTCTCCCCTTCAATCTCTCACCCCCTCTCTTTTCTCTTTGCTCCACTCCTCTTCCCTGCTTTAGATCTCAGCCGGGATTTGTTTTAGGTCCATTCGTCTTCGCCCGACGCGGCGACCCTTGGACCCCTGGTTTCATTCGCGTGCTCGTTTTGGTCGAACAAAAATGTGAGGAAAATACAAAAAAATGGGAAAAGATCCCTGAAAATCGCACCTGCGTGACACACAGACAAAAGACACACACACACACACCACACACACGCGCGCACAAACACACACACGCGCACTTATAATCCATCTGCCAGCCTGCGGTTTTATCCAACTCCCGCGACGCACCTACGGGAGCTTGCGCCTTCAACAAACGGAGTTGGCGCTTGGGGGAAGGAGGAGAAGGGGAAGGGATGTGGCTGGGAAGACAGAGTGGTGGCCGAAACAGAGGGATCGGCTGAGCGGACAGAGAGAGGGAGACAGCGGGGCACCGGGGGGAGCTCCGGTGGAGGACGGGGAAGACGGGGGCGGAGGTGGTGGCGGAGGTGGACTTACAGGGGAGAGCGGTTACGTTGAGGAGGTGGTGGTGGAGGTGGTGGACTCACAGGGGGGAGCGGTTACGTTGAAGAGGTGGTGGTGGAGGTTGTGGCGAAGGTGGACTTACAGGGGGGAGCAGTTACGTTGAGGAGGTGGTGGTGGAGGTGGTGGCGGGGGTAGACTTACAGGGGGGAGCAGTTACGTTGAGGAGGTGGGGACACGTGCCGAGGTTGCTGCGTGGGGTTGAGTGGGTGGCTGAAAGATTTGTCAGAGTGGTTTTTTGTTTTACTTTGGAGCGATGGAACGTCAGCTCACCTTCTGCAGTTTGCATCTTTCTTAATTACCGGCAGGCGAGTTAATAACCACACACAGGCGGAGGCTTTGAAGCGAGAACATCTGCTGGCTGCTGCTGCTCTGTCTCCCTTTGCATTCTGTTTGCTGAATCTTTTCACACGTCTGCTTTTTTTTGGGCAATTTGCATGCCATTTCTTGTAATTAATGTGAAACACGTTTCAGCTACGTAAAAAAAAAACATATTGCATGTTTTCTCGCAAATATATATTGTTGTTAGGTATTGAAACACCTACTATTATTAACGATACATTGTGTGATGGTGCGTCATTCGGGCCACTGGTTTAAAAACATCAAGGTGCGAACGTTTATTTTCGCGTTGTAGAATTTCACAAAAGAGACAGGGTTTAAACATTGACGTAACTATTTTCTGTTTTTTTCACCGATTCCCGAATACAAAACAATGAACGCGACTAAAATATTAAAGACACGAGCAGTGCATTCATGAAACTTGTTGTATTAAAGCACCGCATAGTAACCACGTGAAAGTGTAATAGATGTGTCTTTTGTATATATAAAGCACTAATGGAAAGTAAATAAAGCAATTTTAAACAAATTCATACTATCTGCTTTTTGTTTCACAGGTCTGGATTGGGATTAAATAATTCAGAATGAAGACAAATTAATCTGGAAGCTTGCGTGAAATATTGCCCACAAGTATGGGAATGTGCGCGTTCGTGACTTTTCCTGCGCCACCAATCTCAATTCGTTTATAAATAATGTAACGCATCCGGCAAATGCGAACAAAAAGTTTGCATTATGTAGCGACCCAAAGTCATATATTTATGATCAAAACAACACGAGATTTCAGCGAGGTTCGACCTCAAAATGCATTTTGATGAGCTACCATTATTTATAATCTTCAGCGAGATATAAAAAAAAACATTGTCATCACAAATGTACATATATTACTCGACTTTTGAGAGCCCAGTTTAGCGGCATCGATTTCCCAACATGAGGCCGCCGAACAACCGCGGCAACGTTGAAGATGTGCGTGCAACGATCCCTCTCTTAGAGACGTAACTTTTCTGGACAAGCCCCGCACATCGCCCCCAGTTTCCAATCTCACCTCCGTGCGATGCAATAAGCGCGTAAACAATCACATCGCTGACTGACGACGACGACGAAGACGACGCCAGCAACAACAACGCGAGAGAGAAACGCGCGCACGCTTAAGAAGGCCAAGATGATCGCGGCATCGCACGCCGACATCCTGCCCTCCGGTTCGATCCCCTCTGTGGGGGAAGTGTCGCTCGGCACGACCTCTCCGGCGACAGCGGCCGTGCCAACGCCGCCGCCGCCGCCGCTCGCGCTGTGCCCCGACTGCGGGCAGCTGCACTCGGCGGCCGAGGGTCACGTGTACGACTACCGGCAAGAGGTGGACGACGACCTCACGTGCCACATCTGCCTGCAGCCGCTCGTGTCGCCCACCGACACGCCGTGCGGACACACGTACTGCGCCCGCTGCCTCCGAGGGTTCTTGCTCGCCACCAGCAGGTGAGTGGTCGGGCCCCTGGTGGGGGAGAGGGGTTGGGGGGGGCAAGGGAAAGCCTCTTACCCTGCTGCCCCTCGCCACCCCTCCACACCATTGCTTTAAGTGATTTGTTTACCTCTCCTATAATTCTAGATTTGAAGCTTTCCTGACTGCAAGGATTCATATTCTTAGGTTTTTTCGGTAAAGTCACGTAGGTTTAAAAATGTAAATTAATAAAAGTAAAATAAAAATAAAATAAAAATAACGACGTTTCGGAGGCAACACAAGCTTCCGTCTTCAGGTGGAACCGTCACAGCACGATAGCTGTATCAAGTAAAGAACTTACTTGGAACCGTCACAGCACGATAGCTGTATCAAGTAAGAGAGATTCCTTGTATATATACATTTTAATTAAAAAAATTTCCTACGTGACTTTACCGAAAAAACCTAAGAATATACCTCTCCTATAGTTTGCACTCATATCGTGCGTTTGTATTGTCTGTGATCGTAACGTCTGTCGAAAAAAGCTTTATAGCTCGGCGGATTCCTCCAGTGTAAATAGATATTCTGATTTCGCTTGGAGTTCACTCCCCACCCACGCAGCCGTCCGTGCTGCCAGGTTCCTGCCCCCACCACTGCTCATGTCCAGGCTCAAGCCTGTCCTTCGCTTAGAAACCTCCCAAGGTGCGGTGGTCTCAAACTGTTAAGCTTTTCAACTGAACCCTAACGTTCTCAATATTTATAATGAAACCATTCACAGTATTTTTTGTTCATGGTAAATGTAAATAAAATTTAGTTTTGGGTCTCAGGTTGGGAGGGGGTGGCTTGCCCCATCACCCCCCCCCCCCCACATCTCCCTCCTGGGATCTGCCACTGCTTCCTTTTCACCTTGGCCTATGACTGCCTCTCGTACATATGCCGGCACTGTACAATACGCATCTTCGTCATTGTTTCTCTCACAGCCTCTCGTCACGTTTCGTTGCTGTACGAATCCACGTTGTATTGTAATTGCATTATCAGCTTTCTGAATTTCATCCCATGCAACGTGGAGCAGATTCAAATGTCTCTCATTTTGTGATGTAAAGTGTTTGGATGACCACACTGTTGAGAGTCACAAAGCACAATAGTGGTGCTGCTTGTCCACTTTTGCAAAAAAAAACATAAAACTGTAAACAATGTATTGATCCATACAACCTCACTAAGAGGTCAGAGCCCCGAGCTGTTAGCACTGAGCTGTTCGATTTTATCGTAGGCATCAATGACTGGCAAAAAAAAACCCATCATTAAAATTAGGTTTTTCATGTAATTTCCAGCTCTGATAATTCCCCCACAAAAATATATTGTATCGTCATTTAGTGAACATTAATCACTAATCAAGTTCAAGTTTCATTTATTAGGTATAGCCCTGTGAGCCATTCGGCTCTTGAATCGGGTGCAACCGCAACAAACAAAAAAGAAAAACATGAACAAAAAAAATCTTAAAGTGATATGGAGGGTGGGTGAGTGCTGCCTCTTAGTGTGTATAATAAGCCACTTGACTGGATCTCAGAAGTAGCTCGGTAGTGTCCGCTTCTGCGGACTGTTTGACAACATGACGGGTTGTATGTATGTTGAACTTCTTTTGCACTTTAACGTAGTCAACCGTAGCAATTAGGGTTGGCTACGGTTGGGATGAAATGGGAGGGAAGAGACAATACAACAACAAACAGAAGGGAAACAGCTCACTCTGAGTCGGTATTGCTTTTCATGATGGTTATGAATTGTGGGACGTTTGCTAATTTAATTACATGGCAGGAAACGTGAGCATCCAGAGAAAGCCCTCTCATGCGTTGTTGTTGCTGTTGTTGAGAAAGCTCTCCCAACACTCAAATGTCTGTACGTACGGATTGACAAATGCTTAAAAATGCCTTTTAACTGGACATGCCACAAAGCCCTGATCAGTGGAACATGTCCCTCTTTGATGAAAATCAAAGAACAAAATTAAAACACAAAAAAACGATGTCAAAGTAAATACCATTCCCGTTACAACCTCAATCCTCTCAGTGCCTCCCCGGGGCCGATAATGACCACGTCGCAACCGGTAGTCTACACCATTGAGGCTGCATTTACGCCCAAGGGAGACGCGGACAAAAGTCAAACTACCAGTTGTCGTTCGGGCTGCGTGCCGCGGGTCAAGACTCGAACCTGGTCTGCCGGGATCGTGGCACAACAGCCGAGCTGATACACGAAGCAGCAACGCCACTGCTGTAGTCTTGCGTGACCCGTACAAATGAAACACAGAGCAGATGGCTTTGTCTCCCAGAGTGTGATGATGATGATGGTGATTTCCCACAATGAGAAAAGCTTCCAAAGCAGTGGACGGCTCCACTCGGGGTGGAACAACGATGCATCGAATGTTCGATATCGATTCTTTAAGCTCTCGATTATCAAACAGTGAAAGTGATTTCATTCTTAGGTGAGCATTGAGGTGATGCTCATTTCCTATTCAGAGACTTAAGCCTTGTGGCTGAAATTCCACATTCCTATGGCGGGGGCGAGTGTCTCCATAAAACAACCACTGTTGAATTCCTCACAAAGTGGTCATCAATTTATCAACCCTGCAGGGATGATGAGCTGAAAATCAACGCCTAACCAGGATTTGAACTCCCAACCTTCTGTTTGCGAGATGTTCTGTCCTCAACTGAGCCGGCTGGCTCACAACACGTGCACCGAATTGCATAATACGTTTTGCTTTGTTATTCACGTAAGGTTTATACATTATTCTATTTTATACATTATCAAAAATGTATCACGTGTTAAAAAATGTATGCCTTTAGTTTAGTTTTATAATTGAATCCATTTACAGATTAAATTTGCGTGGATAAAAAAATCAAATAAATGGATTAGTAAACAATGCATTTTATTTAAGGAGCAATAAAAATGCAGATCGCTGGAAAATTGTCATTAAAAATATATGCAATTCATTTTACATGGAGCGACCTTCCAGAATTTTCTAAAGCGTGCAAATAATTCATTCTAGAATGAGAATGGATTGTGACTTTGCAAGGCCGTGAGAGAGATGGTGAAGGCACGGTGGAAGCCTTCATCCAGCAGTGGATGGACTATGACTGCTGATCATGATACGTTGTATGTAAGAGGTTGACATCAGTTTAACACGTAAGCTTTCCTGACTAATATCATCCATAATAGAGGTGTTTTGGGTTAGATCGCGTAAATATAAATGGTTCGTTAAACCCGCCACCACCCGACACAGCCAATTAGTAAGGTTTGTCACGTAAACAGAACGTGACATTTACAATTGTAAATGTTGTGGATTTGCTCTCCAACGCACCGGCGTGCTGTACTAGTAACGAATTGGCCACGTTCTGTTTACGTGACAAACCTTACTAATTAGCTGTGTCGGGTGGTGGCGGGTTTAACGACGCATTTATATTTACGCGACCTTTCCCCAAAAAAAACATAGGATGGAGGTTAACATCACCCCTCTGCAGCCATGAGAGGCAGTACAATTCGCCGCAATGTAAAGCGTAAAACTACTCCCGAGTAATCGAGACGATGTATAACATTGCTGTGGTGGGGGGCGTTAAGTGACTCCGCCCCTAGTTTCTAAACTAATGAAGAAAAAATGTTCTTGATTATTTCCACCTCCCCAACCCCCCCATCCCATTAACGTTGTCAATACTGCACAATTAGACCATTAAGCGGGCCAATGATCAGATCCGTCGCTGCATTAGTGCTGCGGAACGGTCGGAGGATAATCGCACGGAGGCCGTTTTCGCAACCCAGGGACGCTCCACGAAACTCCGCCGCTAAATGGTCCCGTTGGTGGCTCCCTCCGGGAGTGACACAAAACCCCGAGATGTTCCATGTCAGTATCCAGGCTACAAGATCACTGAGCGAATTTTTTTTCTTTTTTACCGAAGGGAATAGAAACCGAATAATAACCTCGACTTAGCCTTTAAAATATTTTTTTAATATAAATCTTCCCACCTTCTCATTTTCTCCTTCAACCCCTTCAGAAAAGTCCCTCTGAGCTGTTAACAGTGAATAGGGGGCAAAGCGGTGGAAGAGGGGGGTGTGGGGGGCCATGCAGGGGTGGGGGGGGGGGTGAGGACACTGGGTTACGAGTGTGGGAGGCTCTGCGGCGGGAGTTTAAGGGCGGAGAGGGGAGCCGAGCTGAAACGGAAGGTGGTGAATCAAAAGCTGGAGGGGTGAAAGTGGAGTGAGCCACAAAGACAGGCACGAGACTCGAGAGGCCACGGTGGCCAATGAGAAGCCCATGCACAACGTTAATGAGCACCGGGAGAGAATGGATACGGGGAGTGAAGCCGGCGCTTCTTAAGACAGCCAACTCTCGGCTCCTGGAGCAGGAAACAAGCGTGGGGGGAGAGCGATTGCAACTTGCGCACGGTCAAATCCGCATCCGGGAGCTGTTGGCGCCCTAAACGGTCAGCACACTTGCAATCTGCCGGTTGGCGATTCGAGCCCGGCTCCTGGGAGCTGCAGTCAAGACAAGGGGGGTAAATTCCCGGGGTCACACCTCTCCCCCACCTCTGTCCACACAGCAGCATGAGTTCGTGCCCGTACGGTTCGTCGATTGGCCTGGGTCGCACGTGGTGGCACAGAGGGTGGGCACTCCCGCCTTCTCCAACGCGTCTGGTCAATGTTGAGTCGGAGGCCCTTCTGCCAGAAGTGGCGTGAGCACAGCAATTGCAGGATTGCACTTTTAACATTTTCATCTGTTAATAGTCCACACATTTGCCTGCTGCTACTGCTGCTGCTCTTGAGACGTTTTGTAGGTTTCAGTAAATGCTTGGGAAAGTGTCCATCTGCTTAGCAACTGTGCTTCATCACACACCACTGCATTCTCTCGTGCACATAAACACAGAAAAAGATGCCCCATATAGCTATTAACGAATTGTTAGGGCTAGTGCTATTCGCGGGCACCTATAAAGGCCAGCACTGGCACACGAGGGGGTGGGTAGCACCACGCCCAGCTGCCTTTGTCTTCCCATTGGTGATG